GCGCCGGCGGCCGCGCGCGGAGTCACAGGAGCGCGAGGGCTGCAAAGGGCCCTCCGGGTCACCGAGCCCAGCCGCGAACCCGTCCCCGCCTGCCTGCTAAACCATGGCCCTCGGCGCCCCGGGCAGCCGGTTCCAGTATTTGACTGCTCTTTGCCATTATCCACCCTGAACCTCCCCTGGTGTAACTTGAGGCCGTCTCTTCTTGTCCTGGGGCAGTTGTTCTGGAGAGGAGACCGACCCCACCTCGCTGCAACCTGCTCTCAGGTAGCTGCAGAGAGCCATGAGGCCTCCCCAAGCCTCCTCCAGACTGAACCACCCCGGCTCCCCCAGCCACTCCTCACAAGCCCTGTGCTCCAGCCCCTCCCCCAGCTCCGCTGCCTTCTCCGGACACGCTCCAGCACCTCCACATCCTTCTTGCAGCGAGGGGCCCACAGCTGGACACAGGATTCACCAGCGCTGAACATGGGGGGACCATCGCCCCCCTGGTCCTGCTGGCTGCCCTGGTCCTGCTACAGGACAGGAGGCCCCGGCCTCCTGCTCCTCGTGCTCAGCCGACCTCATGCTCCTCATGCTCAGGGATGTCGACCAGCATCCCCAGATCCTTGGGATATAGGGGATTAGATATCCCCAGATCCAAGCTATCTGGATGCCCAGATCCAGCGCACAGCCCTCCAGCTGCTCAGCCCCCAGCCTGTAGCGCTGCATGGGCTTCCTCGGGTTAAAATTCAGGGCGAGCATTTTGTGACCCGGGCACTCGCAAGGAGCCCACGTGTATTTAATAAGTGCTGGTTTTAATCCAAAAGGGAACGCTGAGAAAAATACTGGATTATTCTGCTTTTATCTTCTCCATCTTACTGGAAGAAACAAACAAACAATAAGTCAACAGTGATGACTTATAGGTGCCTTTCTGTTCATACATTGTCCTGACAAGTCTAGAGATGCTGGGACAGGGGGTTATTTTTGCACAAAGGAAGCAGAGCATACTGCATCGACGGAGCAGGGAATTTGTGTATCTCCCCCATGCAAAAACAGCCCTACATATAAAATATTCCCGAATCCTGTCATATCTTCTAACCAAATTGCTCAAACCTTACATGTCAGGGAGCAGCAGTGCTTGTACGTTTGGAGAAAAATGCCCTGGGAGGAAATTTCCCCAGTGTGCAGGCAGTGCAATGCAGCAAGGGCTGTGAAAACAGCGTATATATCAGGCTCCTTATAAATACACATATAGTTAGGTCCAATTGTACTAATATTTCTCTGAGTAGCCCAGTGCTGCCAGTGAGAAATTACGTAGAGCTGTGGCCAAAATTGAGCGCACTAAGCACTAAAAATTTGGGCCTTAGGCGCTAAATTACGAAATGTATTTCACAATCATGTGTGTTGAAGAAATACATGGTCGTGCCAAGTTTCTTTGTTAAGTCCAGAAGCAGTAATTGCCTAGGAGCAACTGAAACCCTTTTATTTCTAGTCAAAGATAAGAATTTTTGTGAAATGGCTAAAACCTTAGGGCTGAAAATAAGCAACCACCCACCTGTTTTGAAGAATTATACTCTGCCTTAGTTCATCTCTGGTGTAAGGAAAAAAATCACAATTTAGTTTCTCATACATACGCATTAAATAGCTGAATAAGACAGGCTATGATCTGCAGCCCATGAGATCAATGAGGATTTGCCTTTTTTAAAAACTCGCATTTTCTCAGTGTCGTAAATAGCTTATCAGTTTGCTGAAGTAATGCTAATGGTACCTTTTACCTGTTTGAGCTACAGGTAAAAATAAGTTACATTATGATGTATATAATGTCCTAGATGCAGTACAGTAGAAAATAAGTTACTGGGAGCTACATTCTTCTCATCTTTCATAGACTGGATTTGTGTTCACCTTAAGGAAGAGCCGCCTCTTGCCAACCTTTCTGCAGTGTTTCTCAAGGGCACTTGCTGTTTTAGGTTCAGCCATGCATGCACTTTTCAGAGAAGCAGAAAACTGGGGAAGGGATGGAGCTTGTCCAAAGGCATCAATTGTGCATGTTATGTGTGGAAAATAGAAGTTTGAAAAACAGAAGAAAGCAACCTAAAGGCAAGCAAGCTGAGTTGCTGAAGTGCTGAATCTTGGTTTGAGACTATTTTTATCAGCTGGAGCTGCAGCTATGCTACCTGAGCGGTGACTGCTGGAGCCAGGTATCCAGCCACAGTCCCAGGAAAAGTGATCGTGTGCCCACATCAGCACTGAGGATGCACGTCCAAACTGCAGAGCCCCAAATCCAAGGAAAAGGACCCTGCAGCTAGAGAGGCCTTTCTTTTACGTGTTTGCTTTGGGGTTCTGCAAGGCCCGAAAGAGAAAAGCTTTGTGTGCCCAAATACAGGCATAAGGTAATATGTATAGATCCTACACATACATGTGGTTTTAAAAACTGAGATTACAGAGATTTCTGAGATTAAAAAAATACAAGAATGAAATGGCGCTCAGTTGGAATGCACATCTTAATGGAGCCACATCACAGTTTCATTTAGTGTCACTGGAGTCCTAGACATTTTCTTTCCCCTGTTGTTTTTTTGTCACTCATAACGAAGCCACAGGAAATACCCGTTTTTCCACTGTAAATGATATGAAGTTGAAATTCTACGTTTTTCAAATTGTGCATAGGGTGACAGATATTATCACAGATGTAGTAAAATGTAGCAGATTAGTAGATATTGAAGGAAAACAGAAGCTTAACATGCTTTTTATTTACCTGTAGATACTCATGAGACTCCACATGAAAGTAAGCAAAACATGAAAAACAGAAGAGAAGAATTTTCCATGTTTTACAGTAATTTGCCCCACAGAAAATAAAATCCTGACCTACTTGAGGAGAGAGGGCTATTATATTCATTTTGCTTATCCAGAAAATACAGTTTGACATATAAGTAGACCATAACGTTACATGAAGGAACAAGTTAAGTCATGCCAGTTATTAGGAGTATTTCTGTAGTGGCAGAAATGCTCATTGGCGTCATTGGGAATTAGGCATGTGAAAAGATGGAAGAATTATATCCCAGTTACTGTGGTTGTTTTCCTTTGTAGAGGTAGGGCCAATACAAAGGAATTACAGTCCTCAAACTGCATACACTCAGGGGGTGCCTTTCTCCTCCCAATAAAATCGTGCTGCCGTTCCACAAAAAAAAATAAGGTTCTTTGGGATGAAAGGGTTTTAGAGCAAACCTGGTGGTTACTTGCCAATCTCAGGGCTGCATCTGGATACACTTTATTTCAGGAGCTGGAAAACTCCTAAACAATTCTACCGTGGCCCATCCTCGCTGGCCCTGCTGTTCAAGGGTTTGACATTGCCGCAAGAGAGCTCGCTAATCTTGCTAAATTGTGAGCAATCATCTGTTCAGGCTACTGTGGCCGAAACTGAAGAAGTTACATAATGTTTCATCCAAGTCAGACTTTAACTTGGCCTCGCTGCATGCAAGATTAGCCAGTCAGCCTGTTGTGTCATCTACCACTTGTCATTACCCGCGGGTGGCGTTTTGTCAGCTCCTGAACTTCCCCATTCTGGACTTTAAACTAGCCTTAGATTTTCCAAAATCCCAAATAATCCAGAAAATTAGGTACTTCCTTGATCTTTATTTAGCCCAAAATACATTACTATTAGGAAAAAGGAAAAAAAAATCACTAAAACAACTTTGCTTAGAATATTTTTTAAAAAAATCACACAAATTGAGGAACTACTAATAAGAAAAATATGTTGAAACAAAAAAGAGAGATTTTCAGAAAGCAGGGTGATCTTGATTGAAATTAGTTACTTCTAAAGGGGCAAATAAATTAGCAAAACTTTCTGCAGCTCGTTTATCATTTCTTCCAAGTAATGCTCTTCCCTACCAAGTTCAGTGACGTGCAGCACTTCTTGAATTCCCTGATACCTGGGAATTTCAGTGCAGTCCTGGGGAAGGGATTGAGCAGTAAGGAAAAGCTCTCAGCCCGTAGCTACTCCAAGACACTAAAGCAGAGGCATCAGTGCAGGTGCTGGGTGTTGGGGCACAATCATAAAACTCACCTGGCCTGAAAGGACAAAGTTTTGACTTGGCTGATACCCATTTTGCTCTGCTGGGTGCTTGAAGATACACAGGTAGAAAACCCGACTGATCTTACAAGGTTCCCGGTTTGCAAACTCTGTGTATATTCTCTCCTTTCTCATTAAATAAATGATGAAGGCTTCTTTCATTGAACAATACCAGTAAAATACCTTTTGTGATCAGAGTTGCCATAACAAATCAGCGTGGGCAGAAAGGAGCAAAATCTTTCGCTTGTTTGGATTTTACATAGATCTGCTATCTTTGAAAGTGTTGAGTATGTCAGAAGCTACTCTGTGAAAAAGCATTAATCCCAAATACCACTGAAATCCCTCTGCAGTGTTATGACATGTCTAAACCCTATGGAATGTCACAGTTTTAATTACATTTGTCATGTGGCATCCTACAGAACATAGAAAATTAGATACTCGCCTTGAGAAGGAAACTACCTTGGGGACTCCTGGGTGTTCGAAGGGGACAGTGTAAGAGAAATTGAGTTGAATATTTGCATTACACTAAGAGGCAAAGGTAGCCCCTGCTACAGGCAG